AAATCTAATAAACTTTATTTCATCTTTTTATAATCATTAGATATTAAAATATTATAATTTTTCTATAATATTTTATATCCAATTTATACCTACGCTTTAAGGGATAGTGTTTTAACGAATTATAGCAATTTCAGTGTGTTATATCGATTCTTTAGAAACTTATCTTAAAGAATAACATAATTCAAATTTATAACCCATTAATAAGGCTACTCTTTAATAAATTCGAATTTGTGCATATATTCATTTTTCCTGACGTTATAGATCAGCTAAATAAGATGTAATGGCTAAGATTATACACAAAAATTTTGTATTACAGGTCTTCCTCACAACCACTAAACTATCCTCAAAGCAATTTAGCAATTACGTATTTAATGTCATCTATAGACAAACTCGTTATAGTTGATAATTGATAGTGAAAAAGTTTTAACTCTTCTTATCATAGCCCTACCCTATTTACATCCTCATTGATGCTGTTATGCCTCTTCGCACATATGCTCAAAGCCAGAGAAAAAAAATGTCAAGACTTTGATCATTACCAATGAATGATAACGGTTTCTACCAAGAAAAATTTCACTTATGAATTATCTAACCATGAATAGTTCATCAAGAAAAAAAAATCAATTAAAAAATAGGAATATAAGCATTTTCCCGATACACACTCACTCACACGAAAATGTGTGCATGTGAATCGACCAGAGTTACTTTATTAATACAGAATATAAATGATTCAGCTCGTAGCCGTGAAATTTTATTTTATGATCCCACTTCATATTCTGAGGGAGTGGATCTTGAGGACATATGCAGAATTATGCATTGAAATATGGATGATCCAAAAAAAGCATCCAAGATTATTGACAAGCATCTGCGAGATCGAGATTTTGTGGTCTTTGATTTACTAAGGCATCTGATGATCCTCTCGCAATTAAATTAGGTTGGAACACACCCTTAAAATTGGATGAGTAGGGTTCATTTCTGCCCTTTTGCAAGTTGTCACACTTTTATTAAACACATTAACATTCCGCTCAAATTAAGTAGTTTATATGAAATTGGTATATAACATTTTTATTAGTTCAATTCACATCACATTCAAACTACCCACACACAGTTAAAAAAAAGCCTTTATATATAAATGCGCGTTATAATACATGACATGTCAAATTATGGACAAAAGTAGTGTAGCAATGATAATTATTATTGTAATTCTGCAGAAACATCCTACATTATTTTACTGATGCATATTCAATATATTCTCACACATCACCTAAGACACCTATAGATATACACAAAAAATAATTGTAATTATTTTTCCAATTACTTCTGGTACATATAAGCATAATATAAACTACTCTCCTATGCACGTAAAAAAAAAGTCATTCTTCATAAAACCAATGCTTTTATTCTTTCTTGTTTTCCATTTCTTCAAATGCAGTCAACATTCGAGAAGAAATATTTTTTTTCGGTGTCCACCATGGATTGTAGATAAAATTTAATTTGTAGTGTGATGATTGTTCAACACCATTGGCCTTAAAGAGATCATTAAATGGGTTATGAACATAATTTAATTGATCAAGTGTGTCATTGACTTCTTTATATATTTCCTGCATAATACAAATATATTAGTTCTCAAAAAAAAACAACTTGAAAAATGTCATATGCTGACCATTTCTATAATACTCTCAATTACGTATTTCAAAATCTTCACGACTGATCTTAACATTTTGATGTTAGTTAATTTGGTAGGAAGTTCAAATGTTTCTCCAGGCAAAACAATATAGAAGTCATTTACCAAATCTTCTAATAACATTTGTTCGTACACGCCAGAAATCTGCAAAAATGGAATTTTTATTTTATTTACTTGTTCGTCTGTTAAATTTCAATCTAAGCATGCTGTTCAGGATTGACTGATTAACTCTAGAAGAATGGCAACGGTTTCTAGTTATCTTAGCTGAGATAAAACATGCTGAAAATTCCCATTCACCTAAATCTTTTTTGAGGAACTTAAGAACCTAACATCGCACCTCCGACCTCTTTTATACTCTGCAGACTGACTTGATTGGCAGAACGATTCACCCTTTTATATACATTAAGTTAGTTGGTGTCATACTGTACTTAATGAGAATCAAATATATTTAATTTACCATTTGTAATGCATTCTGAAATCTTTTTTTAATCCTTTTACAATGTAAAAGCACACTTTGAGAATAAGGTCCATTTCAGTGTAATCTCCATCGCCTCCTAGTAAATCACCACTAAAGATGGTCACCGCAATTAAAAAAAATGGCGCAATTGAGCTGCAACTTGTGACGCAATTAAATTTCCTTATGGCGCAATTAAGTTGCAACTCAATTGAAATTTGAAAATAATTATGG